TTTGGCGGCCCGAGTGAGCAAATGCAGTACAATGGCGAGCCCAAGAACAAGGCCTGGAATGCATACATGCTATTCTATCAGCGTGTCTCCACCATGGAGGAATCCAAGTCCGTGTACAAGCCTGCGAAGCCCAACATCCCCGTGCATGTTCCAGTTTCAGTCGCGATCAGCAACCACATTGCTATGGACAACGAACTTCTCATTCGGACCTACTGTCTTCTGGATCCGCAATATGCCTTTTTCGTGGAAGGTTTACTTCAACGCTGGTCTGGCATGACCGACGACAATCCCGACAAGAGCTTCGCAGAGACATTAGCTATCAATGTCGGCATGGACACCTTCGAACAAATGGTTTCAAGAACCAAGGACCTTCAGGGACACCAGGAATTGTTCACCGTTCTCATTTCCATGATTAACAAAAGCCCCAACGCTGCGCGTTCTAGCCTTGACTGGATTTTCGACCGCAAATCGCCAATCCGCAACCTCATGACCAAGATGCACCAGCCAGAGGTTCGGCATAAGGAAATTTTGTTGATCATCTTTGCTGTCAAGCACCTTCACATGCTGTCTAAGGACCCAAATCTCGAAGAGAGTGAGCAGGCTTTCTGGCGCAACAGCTTCGAGGAAGTCATCATACGTCTTGTGCCCATGCTGATAGAGGTGTGGCCCAGCGTCCAAAGCATCTCACGGGTGTGGGAAGATTACTTCGGTTTCTTTGTCAAGTTGTGCAATTATGGACCTTGGGTTGTTGAATTGCTCGCTGATAAACAGATGTTCACCGTCTGCCTGCAAATCCTCTGGCTCGACGAGGATGACAAAAAAAGGATGCGGGTCCACCTCCCAAACTACTGGCGCTTGCTTGAGAAAGGCCGTCGATTTACCTACTTGAGTATGCTGTCGCTGTTTCACACATTCTTAAAACATATCGATCTTTCCCTTGAGCCCGTCGGTCTTCATGATCCACGCTCGGTTTCAAATGGCAAATTCTCTCTTAGGCTCCATGAGGTGGAACTCATCAAACCGATTGAGAGGGATGGATCACTTGCCATCTTGAGGCATATTCTGAAGCAAGATGGACTTGCCAGGAGCCAGACAGCACATTTAATCATTGCTACGTTCTTGGGCGGAGAACCCGCGGCAGGCTTCCTTCCTTCGATCCAGAAGACTATTGAGAATGGATTAAGGATCGAGCCTGCTGTCCAGTGCACACCGTTCCTTGACGCAGCCGTGATTTTCTGTCAACACTGTCCCATCAAGCAGCGAGTCATTGATATGATCACCTTTGTCGCCAACGGCGTGGACAGCATTGACAGCAGCGGTGGTCAGGAGCACATTGCCTTCTTCATCAGCCTCTGCCAAACTTCCAACGAGCGACTCAATCTGAACGCCAATGCTTTGGCTGAGATTGTCTTCACTATGATTCCAACATGGGCTCCCACTTTGCTCATTGACAGAAATGAGAACGTTCGGCAGAGTATGCAGAACATCCTTGGTGTCTGGGTCTTTACCGACCGCAACGAGGAAGCTAGCTCTGAGGGAAATGAAGAGGACGACGAAACCGACCATGACCCCATCCAAAAGCGACGACCTGTCATTGGCAGGGGACTGGTGCGAGCTAGCATCGATCGACTTAAGACAGCATTTGTGAAAGACCCACCCCGACGCGTCGATCGCAGCCAAATCGCGAATATCGCTGCAGTGATGCAGTATTGCCTGGACAATTACTTTAGCGACAGCGAGGAGGACCAGCAAACTGTCACAGAGGCCAAAAGTATGTTTCAATCCTTCTGCTCATTAGCATCCGTTTCTTTCTCCACAGTTCAACGTTATTGACGCCTTCCCTGCTGCAGATCTGTTATTGCTTCTGGAAACATTGTCACTCGAAGAATTCCCCGAGGACCAGGCTTCCGGTACGTACTTGCCCCTTGCCTAAGTCGGTAACAACCCAAGATCGAGTCTAACCCGAGGCCGCCAGAATCCGAGGCTCCCTCTCCCGAAGAATGGGAAGCCAACTCGGCAATGGCCAGTGATTCCGAGGTCGGAGTTGCAGGATCTCCATAGATCACGCATGCTCTTAAAGCATTGTGCTTTCATTTCATTTTGTGTCTTACTCTCATGCGTTTTTGCGTTGTCAACAGATTCAGCGAGCGTCATATGGGACAGTTATGGTGATGAATCGGAAGGGTTTCACACAAGTTACGGATTTTACGAACTTTTGCTTTTTATTTTGCTTGTTCTTTCTTTCTTTCTTTTGCTCTCACATATGATTAAATCCGGCGTTTCCTTGTTGCTCGCCATGAGCCGGTGCAGGGTTAACTTCAATCAATGGTGGCCGTTTGAGAGCCAGCTCTCTTTGTGCATTGCATATCTAGTTGTTTATTTTCAAGATAAAAATTTAAGCATCGCTGATCTTGCACTTTATCTAAGATTGTCTAGAAGTGGAGGAAGGAGATGAGCTGGGAGAAGGTCCATAGACCATGATCGTTTATTTCATCGAATAGAATGTGTGGATTGGTTTTTTATACCGTATTTTTGAAACTTTATCCCTCTTCCTCGCCACCAGCAGGAACATTGGCTTCATCATCTGACAATCCCTCCACAGCAGCAAGTGCATCCTTCTGGGCTTTGGTGTTACCCTTAGACCCAGATGCAGCAGCGGGTGCAGTGGCGAGCTTTGAAGCTGCAATACCACCGGAAGTGACATAGAGGAAGTAATCAGCGGGGTAGTGATCAATATGGTTGAAGAAAGAACCAAATCTGCAAAAGTCAGTATGTGCTCTGTCTTTCTCTTTCTCTCTTAATATGTGAAAGGGGAGATATATCATACCCAGCACTCTGCTCCTCCTCCCGGAAAATCCGATCATAAATCTCCCGCTGCTTGAACTCATCCATCTCCTTGGTATACTTATCGAAGTGGATAGGCTCACGCTCAAGAACTTTAGCCTTGGCATTGTAAGCACCGAAGATAGGCCGCTCAAGCAAGAGTCCCAGACCAGGTGCCTTGGGAATAGCAATACGGTCCGGACCGTAGGTCTCAGTGATACGATCGGGGTTGCATCCAGCACGGACAATCATAGTGGCCATAGCGACCATCTTGCGGATCTGGTGCATCATGAAACTCTGACCGTGAACCTTCAGGCTCAGCCATTCCGTGCCGTCGATGATGATCGGCGAGGTGTTCACGACGAAGCTCTTGATGTGCCGCTTGGCGGAGGGGTCGCTGTGTGCCTTTTGGATGGTGTAGTTGTGGAAGTTCTTCGTTCCAACATACTGCGTGAGAGCGTCTTGCAAGCGGGCGATTCGTGAGGCTGGGGCACGGTAAGCTCGGCGGGCTGTTAGGTAGGCTGCCTTGACGGCCTTGACGGTGTCGATGATGAGCCTTTGGCGCTCGTCCATTACAAAAGGCTTCTTTTCTGTTGACTGTTCTGTTGGTTGCTCGGTGGGCTTATCCGTGGACTCTGAGATTGACTCCAGGGGTTCCTTGGTTTCGTCGCTTGCTTGCAGGGCTTCGCGTGAGTCGTCGAGGTAGAGGGACTTTTCGACGATTTGGCGGATGTCCTCAGGAACGTTTGCCAGGATGGGCTTGATGTGCTTTTCGTCCACTTCTTCCCAGTAGCCAGTGACTGCTTCCTGTCGGGCCTTGACTTCGTCTAGTTCGCCAGCTTTCTCGGCAAGCTCGGTGATCTTTTGGCCGAGATAGGTGCTGGGGTGAGGGGGCAAGAGACAGTGACTCGGCATCAGGTATTCATATACACGGGAATCACACATCTGATAGCAGCTGAAGCTCTTGGCTGTGACCTCGTAGCCCCAGACGCGAATCTGGGGACTGAGGTGCTCGTTGATTTTCTGGATGATATCCTCGTCCTCGACGATCATCTTCAAAGAAACGACATTACCGGCAGCGTGCACTCCTTTATCTGTGCGCGCACAGCGGACGAAGGAAGACTTCTTAGGATCCGCTGCATTGGCTTTTGAGATTGCGCCGGCCTTGACGAAGGCAGCGAATAGGTCACCTTCAATGGTTCGCTGGTTCTCGTTCCTAGTCTCATTGTCAGCGCAAGAGCATATCATGATGAACCAGTGTAGACATACAACTGCATGCCCGAGTATCCAGTTCCCGAGTATCCAATCAGCACGGCAACCTTCTTCTTAGGGCGCCGCTCCTCGCCATCAATCTCCTCCTTCGTGAACTCAGTCGCGTAGATGGGCAGGGTAACCTCTTCGCCATTCTCGATTCGGCGGCGCTTAGCCTCCATCTGTTGCGTCTGGCGCTCTCTCTTATCTATGCCTTGACGACTTGAATTAGTTAGCCGACCATGCAAGAACGGAGATTTCAATTGATGCAACATACGCCCACTCGGCTCGTCCCATATCGCGCTTCTGACGCCTTCCACCACCTCCGCCTCCTCTTGATGGGTTCGAGGCCATTGTATCCGCTCAAAGATTTTGTGTAAGTCGGCGCGAGGTCTCGTTTGTTCCAAAAAAGAATGGGAAAGCGGGCAGCTGAGAGCGAAGCTTCGGGTGTTGCGTCGAACTGAGCTGGTGATAGTTGAGCTTCGAGTTGTAGGGAGGATCCCAGAGAGGTTCTGCCAAACAATTGAGGGACGCATGAAAATAACTTGGGGAATTTGCCCTCGTCTCCGCGGTCCATCTTTTCCATATCGACCCTAGACCTATCTGGGCCTAGCGTAGCATATAGTAGACTAAGCCTAATTAGGTTAGAACTTATGCCTCAGGCGGACAATCATTTGCATGTGACGTGAAGCTTCCAGCCTCAATTGCACTCATTGTTCATTCATTCAACAGACTTGGCGCTGTAGCCCTGGCGCGCTCTTCTCCCAGTCACTCCTTTCACTTTGTTTCTTCTCGGAGATCAAAGCATGCTTGCTTTGCTGAAATCTTAACTGCACCCTGCGAGTTGAAGCCTTGCGCTCTCTTCGGTCCTCACCCGCATTACTTTTTGACCGCGATCTTCTACTCCGAACACCACCACCACCAATATGGACCTTGCGAATACCCTCATCCGGACTGTGGCGCGCGCCTTCTACGAGACCCGCCACATTCTGGTGGTCGATGCGCTCTTCCTACACTCAGTGTATGATGATCTTTCAGAGTTATGCTGAATGATCGACTTACTGACCGTCATAGTCTCCACGCTGAGGATCTTGCCTTTCTGATGGGAATGCAACAAAAGGATCTTCGCAAGCTTTGCGCTAAGCTCCGAGAGGACCGACTGATCGCAGTGTATGGTCCACAGGCCACTGACATGCATCTTGCATGGCGACGAAACGAGCTGAGCTGACTTGAAAATTTCGTTGAATATAGAAGCACCCGCGCCGAGATCCGTGATGGGTCCACTCGTCCTGTGAACCGCGAATACTACTACATCCCTTTGCACCCGGTTGTTGATGCGATCAAATACAAAGTTTCCAAATTGACGTCGAACATCAAAGCGCAATACACACCGAGCGAGGAACGCAAGGAATACATTTGCATCCGATGTGGAACCGAGTGGACGGAATTGGACGTCCTGAGTCTGGTTGGCGATGAAGGATTCGAATGTCAGAACTGTGGCGCAGTCCTGGAACGAACCGAGGATGTCAAGGGCGTGGAGGGAATTGACCGTACGGGTCATGAGAAGAACAGCAAGCTGATGGCCCAGCTTGACAACATGCTCAAGCTCCTGAAGCAGATCGATACCGTTGAAATCCCACCCAATGACTTTGAAACTGCTTGGGACCACAAGGTGGATGTCCCTAGGAACCAGAGCACACATCCTGTTCGCGCCGCGATTGTTGTCCCACCTAAGGCACAGGATATCACACGTCCCAACGCCAAGACTGATGCAGCCGCACTGGAGATTTCCCTTACTTCGAGTGAAGAGAAGAGTGCTGCTGAGCAAGCCGATGAGGCTGCTCGGAAGGCAGCCGTAGAGAAGCAAAATGCTCTTCCAGTTTGGCACACCCATTCTACCGTGAATGCAACGCCCGCAAATGGACAGGTCAAGACCGACGGTGGCAGCTTGGTGAAGCCCGAGTTTGCGGATGACGAGAAGCCCAGTCTGGATGCCTTGGATGACAAGGTTGCCGCTTACTACGCGGAGATGGAGCGCGAGAAGGCACTCCAAGCCCAAGAAGATGCCAGCAGTGCGGATGATGACTCTGACGACGAGTTCGAAGATGTCGAGGGTGTTTCTGGCCCAAGTGGACCGGGTACCCCTGCCACGAACGGCGGCCCTACAAGTGCTCCCGGCGGCTCGTTCAGCGGAGGTGGCGTCAAGCGAGAACTTGATTCCGGCGGATCCAGTGCTCCTCAGTCCTCCGTTGGCACCCCATCCACTCCTGCTGATGATGGTCCTGCTACAAAGAGAATTAAGGTCGACCCGGAGATCAAGCCTGACCCGGATGCCGAACCTGACACCAAGAATGAAGCGGAAGAATCGGACGAGGATGACGAGGAATTCGAGGATGTCTAACGAAATACAAAAATCAAACGTGGGCGCTGGCGCCGAAAATAATACAAGGCGAATAGAAGTTGGACCCAATATTGAGGCTGGATGGTCATCAGCATCGCACCGTCCATACAGTAGGCATTACTGATGGATGAGATGTCCTCTGGTTACTCACATGTCTGGTTGCTCCATGCTCTCTTTCTTATTACCTTGTTTTCTAGGAATAAAACAAACAGTGACTTTGGTTTTCGCCTAGTTGCTTGTACCATATTAGCAATGCTTCGCCAGTTTTCCACAGTACATGTAGGATCCCACTGGCTATGATGGCAATATCAAAGAAAGAACCTAAGGGTTTCTGCAGAACCATCTCGCTATTCTTTTCACAATGAGTCCGTGCTTGATGGTTTTTGCTGAACATACAAATAGAGCTTTCAAATGTATGTCTTGGGGTATATATTGCTTCCCTTCCTACTCATACCTTTCTCTTACCCTAGGCCATTGTCTGCAATAAGTCGACGATCTGCGAGGACGATATCTTGCAGCTCCAGCAGTTCATCATCGTTCAGAGTCCACGCATTCACTGGGCTGATATTGACGGTGGTTGTGCAACTATTGTTCGGCTTAACATGGCATTTAAAGTACAATAACATAGCACGGGCCTCGGGATTGGTGTATATTGGCAAATTGCCAGATCTGGAGCCCTGATTGGATAGCTAAAAACAGTCAATAAGACTGTAGGGCTATTGAAGAGATGGCGAACTTCAACTGATTGGCTAATCCCAAAAGGAGGAAAATCCAAAATATCGAAGGAGGCTGGGGCTGGAGGTATCAGAGTCGTTGATTTGCCCAAATTCGAACAATAGGATGGAGGTGAGACAATCCTTTGTTTGCGAGCCCTATATCGCGACTCTATTGAATCTGCTCCTATTGTCAATTCTCCAACTGCGTTTTCTTTTCTTCTCATCTTTCAGCTTCGCCTCTGCTTTTCGTCTCTTCTTCTAGCATTACCTTTGATTTCTTCTCCTCTTCCAACAAAACCTTCTACCTTCACTGTCATACCACCTCTTGCCAACAACATCATCATGGCATCCCAGACCTTCTCTGTGCTTTCTGGCCAGCTCGACTGGACCGCATGGAAGGACAGTGTCCGCGACCATCTGTCGGAAATAGACCACTACGCTTGGGACATCATTGATGGAGTTGCTGCATATCCCCAGCCCATGATCGAAATTCCCATTGTCGAAGAGATCGCTGCTCAGATTGCAGCCAACAACAATATTTCTGTCACCGAGTTGACCAACGAACACGCCATGTCATGCTACAACAACCTCACCACCAACATCACTCCTAACCAAGCCAACTACGCCACCATGCTCGGTGCCTGGCGCCGCGCCAACAACTTGGGCCTGCAAGCCATCCGCGCCTCCGTCACCGACATCCCCCTCGGGATCATCATGGGCATGAACAGCTCTCGCCTGGCCTTCCTCCAGCTTGAGGAAGTCTATGGCAAGCTCCGCCCTGACTACGAGAAGGTCCGGGCCATGTACTACGACTGGTCCCAAATGCGTTTCGACGACCATGAGGACCCCGCCGTCTTTGTCCACTGCTTCCGCGAGGCTCTGGCACACATCCGGTGCCAGCCTTACTTTGTTCACCCCTCCTCCGAGTGGCTTGTCCTCAACACCGCCATCAAGGACTCGCGAATCGGCTGGGAGTTCCTCGAGACCCTTCGGATGGACAACCACGGGGCGGAGGGCTGGATGAGCCTGGTGTACGAGGAGTTTCTCGAGCACGCGGTGGACCACCAGCACCAGGCTCCGTATGAGGAGTATGAGGAGTATGACTCCGAGGAGGATTCCCGGGGCTCTTCTGAGCCCAATGTTTTCAGTGATGAGCCTGCCGCCGCCGATAGCTCCTTGATTACCAAGTGAGCGTGGCCTGGGCCCATTCAAAATATTCCTTTTTAAGTAAAAGCTTTGTATCATGACACTCAACACAGTACTTTCTCTCAGACTTCTTCTGTTTCTCTCTCTCGTGGGCGTGTAAATTTCAAGTAGCAGTATGTTAATCCGTTGGTCAAACAATGCTTAGGAAGTTTTGTTTTGACTTCATTCCAAGCGTCACTTTTCAGCTCGAATGTCATGTTGATGAGGCCAGATATTTTTGGTTGTTTATCTTACTCGCGACTGTCAAGCTATTTCGAAATGATTCTGAAAAATAATTCGGTACGCTGATATCCTCTGGACTCTTTTACCAAATCTAGTACCGCGACTCATAGCGTCACACTTGTGACGCATGACAGTCGGATCACTTGCAGGACTTGGCCAGATGGCTGGATGAGGAAGGTGGTGAGACCAGGGGTCGGATATGATTGGACGGAGGAAGGTAGATAGCATAGTTTTCTGGCGTCTCTCCAGTTCTCTTTCTCTTCTTCTCTCTAGCTTAGTGTCTTCGATGAATGGACTCTTTTTGATGAAGACTTGCCGACTCACAACATTTATATACCTCTTGTCTTCTGCCAGGTTTCTCACACTTCTTCATCTTTACCACATTCTGCTATATAATTACGGTCTTTCTCGATTGAAAGCAGTGCTTGAACCACCAAATGGGCAAAGACATTACACGGGTATGATACCAAACTGGTCTTTTTTATCTATCATATTTCTCTCTTCTAACATGATCCTCTATCGTTTCATCTACAGCAACGCGGGCACCCCGCTCCCCATAAGGTCCACCGCAAGCGTGACCCTGGAAGACTGCACTGGTTATTCCAGTCTCATCAAACTCAAAGCAGATCCTGGACCAGCAAGTGACCAGGGATTTGTCTGACACGTATATATTCCGGTAGTCTCAGTCAAGGATTTGTGCTCTCAGATCTCTTGCACTGGTTCTTTGAAATGAAAGATTACGCAGAACGACAGCAGCCGCTCATCGACTACGCTTATTTCGCGAAACACATCAAGGAACCTTCTGAGCTTTTTCCACGACACGGTAAAATCTGACATCGCCGTGTTTGTCAACGACTACAGCAAACCGCCGTTGCCATACCATAAAGGATTTCTTCCCGACTGGGCCCTGAATTGAAAAAATCAGCTGCGCGAATAAACAACGGTTTGGAGAAAGTGCAAAGAAGCATTTCGACTTCACTGCACACCCCAAGGCGGACCTTCTGCGGCAGTTCACGGAAGCACGTCTACCCATCGCGAGCTAGTCCAGGGCTATTTCTATCCACATTAGGAGCTTGGAAATCTCCAAAGAACTCAAGCAGAAGTTGGATGAAGCAGCAATCGATTCAAAGGATTGAAAGATGACACAAGCCAAAGGTTTCCTACGGGTAGGAAAAGGGGACGTCGGATGTGCATTCAAGGAAAATATACCTGGAAGGGGGAGATGGAGGACGGCCGCGTCGGGACATTGCAAAGAAAGAAAGAAAGAAGTTATCATAATTACTAGTTTTCTTTAGGGTATGATAAGTGACATGCTGATTGATGTATACATTCGACAGCCTGGCTTGGGCAGAACGTCACACCGTCACACTTTCTCGATTGCTTCGATGGGACATCTCTATGCTAGACGATTATAGGCCCTGCTTGCTTTGGCAGTGGATTGCGTTGGACGTTGAGGCTCCATTCCGAGTAGGTTTCTCGGTGTTCTGAGCCGCAGTTTTCGCGGAACAGGTAGCATTTGACGAACAGATCAGGCCTATCGGTCACGGTTTGGTCGATAGTAAATTTCCTCCCAGGGTGGCTCAGGGACGTAGTTCCCCGTGGAAGACAACTGTGAAGTCCTTGGGGAGGGAAGAAGTTGGTTAGCTCACCCCCCTCCTCTGTAACCCGAGGTTGGATGTTATTGCAGTACCATTTATGACAGCTATGAACCGTCAGTCAGCTTCGTGCAACCGAACTTTCTTGCAGGGCGTCCCTACTACGGTGAATAGACCACTCGAGTCGCACTAACGATCTACTCCAAACGATAGACAACTTTCAACATACTGTACTTCAAGGTTAAACTTCATTGTCATTTAAAAATTCCATATCATGACCTCTAATATCTAGTCTTTCTAGTGACCAACCATAGCCTGGTGCGCGGGCCCATATCTGTTTCCGTGGGGCTTGGCAGCATCAATAATCTTGCGCATCTCTTTCTTTTCCTCTTCAGAGAATTCAACATCTCGAGAAGCCCAGTTATTCTCAAGACGAGTAGCCTTAGTCGTTCCAGGAATGGGGATCATGCCTTGGGCAGCAACCCAAGCGAGAGCAATCTGGCTAATATTACAGCCCTTCTTAGCAGCGAGCTTCTTGATTTCCTCGACGATTGCTCGGTTCTTGTAGAAGTTGTCGCCTTGGAATTTAGGGGCTATCAACGGTGACTAGGTTAGCAACTTCGGCCTTACAACAAAAGCAAGGAACCATGGAATTATACTCACAACCACGGCGGAAGTCATCGGGAGCAAAGTCGTCAGGGGTTTTGAACTTGAAGTCATCGACCAGCCAGCCATGTCCGAGAGGGCTGTAGGCGACATACGCAATACCCAGTTCCTTAGCTGTATCGATCAGACCGTCTGTCTCGTGCACCGTCTCGAAAGCGGAGTACTCGGCTTGGATAGCGTCAATCTTGGCAACTATTCACAATTAACATCCAATATTCCAAAGGTATCCAGGATTCAAACTCACTAGAGTTGGCCTTGCGCAGAGTCGCAGCAGAGCACTCGGAAAGCCCAATGTACTTGGTCTTTCCAGCCTTGCGGATCTCATCAAGAGCAGGGATAGACTCGGTAAGAGGTGTGTCTGTCGAAAATCAGCAATTAAAACCACAACGGTGGATAATCAGACATACTAGGATCGATGCGGTGCAGATAGTACAAATCAGGAGCAAAGCCGAGTCTCTCAATAGTGCCCTCAATATACTCCTTAATATGCGAAGCGGAGTTGGTGACTGAGCCACCACCAAACACATCAAAACCACACTTCGAGGCAACTATTCACAACAGTCAGTTCTTGGCTTCATTGTGAGATTGTACAAGCACGTACTAAAAACCTTATCCCGAACATTGTGCTTGCGGATGAAGTCTCCAAGAAGCTTCTCGTTTACACCGGCTTGGTAGACAACCTGCGCGCCTTGATGTTAGATTCCGGGATTATTCCTCGTGACAATGAAGTATTAACTTACGGCGGTATCCCAGAATGTGCAACCAAGCTCAATGGCCTTCAGGAGGACTGGCTCGGCTTCCTCGAGGCTCAGGTTGGAGCCCAGGCCGAAGCTCAGACCCATTGCACCGAAACCCGGTGTTGGGACCTGGATGTTGCCGAAGGGAATTGTCTTGACCATTTTGATTGTTGATGGGAGGGTATTGGTGATTCGTGAATAGTTAATTGCGATGATTGACAAGAAGTCGCAGAAGTCCTCAATTTATATGTTTTAATGCTATTGCGCCCGGAATTAAGAATGGTCGATTACACCTGGTGGGTCCATTCTTATTTCCCGTTGTTGCTTAACTCCGGTGGTTTGCGGGGTGGCAACCTTGCAAGGCGAAGATTAGATTGCGTCAATGTGATCTATAGAAAGACAATGGTTTTGAGGTATAGAAATAGCATGATTTTATTGAATCATGATTTAACTATATGACTTTATAATACGTTCAATATCCTCTCCTTCAAGACAATTGACCCCATCTTCAACACACATGTCAACCGCCTTGTCCACACTGTCAGACCCTTCAACTAAATCATACCAACCGTTCGTATCATTGCGCGCCAGCAAACTCACACCTACAGCCGCAACATCTGCAATCTTCACCTGGCCCAATGAGGGAGTCTTGCCTAGTTTCACCCTCCCCGTAGCTGGCCCCGTAAGGAGCCAACTTGGCCGCAAGCTGATTGCTTGAAAAGGCGGACCACCACGAGCCTCCCGCTCTTTGGTCATTGCAACGAGATACTCATCCGCTTGGGTTTTGGCCTCTGCGATATCGGGATATGACTTTGTTTCCTGCTGCCAGTTTTGTATGTCGCGTTTTCCCCACCAAGGTGCTGCTGCTCTGCGTGCCGCAGGAAACGATATCATCAGGAACTTGGTGATATACGGAGCTTCGGTGGAGGCTTTGATTATTTGCTGGGCTGCGTCGCGGTCTATGGCGTAGACGTCTCCAAATGATCCTAGTTGAAACGGTTAGAGATTGCTAGAACCTGAAACTGTAAAAGGAGGATTATACCTGCTGCGAACACAACGCATGTCGGTTTAACACTCTCAAGGATTCTGCTCGCGTCGTTGGGTGTCTTGATATCTTTCAAGTCCATCTCCAGTGTGTCAATCGTCCCAGACTGACTCTTGCCTAGTTCTAACAGATTTTTCTTCTGATGGAGGCTTCGAATAACACTGGTAACTTTCCATGACCGGGCAAGCATTAAGCTAGTCATATATCGAGCAATTCTGCCATTTCCCCCAAAGATGAGCACATGTTCTCCTGTCATTTTCCGTTCTTTTCTGTAGTTTGTAAAGTGATGAGTATAAAGATTAAGTGGACAAGGACGAAAAAATCACTCCGATCCCTTTCTATCATACTATGTAGTATCCTGATTATGATTATCCCTTGCTCAGTTCTAACTAAAAGTAAGTGTTACTTTGTGTTGGTGTTTGACGCTTAACTCCGAAAGTGGGGCGTCATCAACCCCACTGTAAGCTACTTCACTTGGCGCCACACATCTAGAAGCAGGGCGCTAAACCCAAACATGACCCGCTCCACATACATAGCTGTCTAACCCTATTCTTTGGTTTGTTTTGATTTATATATGTATATATATACATTGATGATTTTAATAAGATATACAGGTCCCCAAGGAGAATCCGGTGTATACTTAAGTTCGCATTAGTGTCATGCATGTATACCTAACACATCACATAGGACGAAACCCCTTTCCAATTCTCTTCACGCCTTTCAGATCTGTTTTCGCTATTTGAGGTTGAGCTGACTGCCATTCAAATACATAAAAAAATAGTTTGGAAACTACTTGATTGTCTCGGCCGTGGTATGGATCACGGCGTTCGGTGTGATAATGATGGCCCCCATTCCCAACCTGTCAATCTGAATGGAGAAGTCAAAAACCAAGAGGGTAATATAGCAGAGCCGCTAGCTCATCACAAAAAGTCATGGGTATTCGTCCAATTCTTCTTTGATTCCTGACCCTGCATCACCTTCTCATCTTTCGGAACCGCAAGTAGACAGCAAGCCAGAAGATCGAAATCTCTGGATTCTTGCAAAAGAGAGGTTGAGTCCATCCAAAAGATCAAAAATGCTTTGAAGGTGAGAACCAAGTCATAGTAGAAACAGCAAACGAAGAAGTACGAACCACGACAGAAGTATCTAAGCGAGCTACATGGAAAAGAGACCCACTCTCCGGAGCTACATAAAAGGATTGACAGTTTGTTCTGTCATTCCATTACCTATTTCAACTGGGTGTGGACTGACCATGGCAGCAAGCTCTCCAGCATCTGGTACCTGACACCCGATGATTGTGAACCTCTAATATACAGAGCGTCCAAGGTGGGGTTGATACGGACTGTGAAAAACTTACTCGAGAACGGCGACGACACTTTACACCCTTTTACGGGGAATTTCTGCGTGAATACCACTCTTAACAAAAAAGGTCCTGACTGCAGCAGCAGGAAATAAAAGGAAAAGTCTCGAAATGATGGAAATACTGCTTGGGGAATGAAGTCCAGATACTCCTATCAGCGAGAAAGTCATGTGTCCGCTCGTATCCAACCTAACTTACGGGGCAGACATAATGAACCTGCTTCTACAAAGGTAACAGGCAGGCGTTACTGTCTCACAGAAGGTTTTGGTTAAGGCAGCAAGCTCCCATAACACGCAAATATGTGAACTTATTGTGAGCAATGCAGGGCCGAACATCAGAACCACGGAGAATTTTTTTGCGCGGCAGCAAGCAACTTCTGGTGCCCAGAAACTATGGTGACATATCTGCTGAGCTTGACGGGGAGGCTGTCATTTCAGAAGATGTGCTGGTATCAGCTGCCGGTAATTGTGATGAAGACAACGTACTATCTGTGGCCCCTGGCTGGCTTCCACAAGGTGAGGTATGGGGTAATATGATATAGTGAGTGTTTTGGCAGATTTATTTAAATAATAAGAGAGAGGGACGTTTCGATCCCTGACTTGCACATATTTCCTCTTTGGGACAAGGGGGATGGTATCAACCTAAATTGGGGTTAGAACTTCACCGAATGTCCCTATGGCCTAGCTGTCAGTTCCAGGTGAGAGTACCCCCCCTCGATCCCTGATCCGCGCTGGACCAGTTGGTGTCTAGCCGCCCTCTCTCTCCTTCGGCCGGAGGAAGAGTTGGGCGGGCACCAACGGCCTTGGAAAGCCAACGGCCCTTGGTTGGGGGTCCAACTAAGGGCCGAAGGGAGTATCAATTTTTCCTAAAAAGACTCATGAGGTCTTTTTCTTCTTTGGTTCTCAGTAACTTCTTACATTTGGACCTCTGTATGGCTTGTCATCTTGAAAAAGGCGAGGTGACGGAACCCATATCAAGAGTCTCGTATACGCAAAGTCTTCTATATGCAAATAACCCCGCCTTCCAAAGCAGCCTAAAGGTGGCAGACCGAGTTTTTAAAGCGGCATGTGGTAGTATAAGACCATGTCACTGATGCTGAAATGATTTCCCAATCATTTTCCTATCGAAATACTGGTTGAGGGGATAGCAGAGACGCAATTTTACCAAGATCGTCATGATGTTCTGGATCTCCTTATTTTCCAGAAAAGATTCACATTTCGACCAAAGTTTGGTTGAGAAGCTTTCACAGGATGTCGGTGCTTTGCGAACTCTTTCAATTTTCAAGCCAGACTTTCCAGTCTCGCCCCAATCCCTTCTTATGGCAGCAAAAGGCGCCAACGCCATGGAGGCAGTTCTTTGCGTTTGTAAGATGAATGCTGTCATCACAGCAGACATAATCGAGGCATTATTAGACTCAGAAGACTTCAATGTCTTACGGCTACTTTTCGGTCGACACAGATCAAGATTTCCCATAACAGATATGGTTTTGATACGGGCAGCTCTCTATCAATACCCCTTTATGGCGCTGGAAATGAGAAACAGTGCGGACCTTCAGATAATTTGGGGAAATGTCTGGCAAAGCGACTGCTCGGAAACAAAACTTGATGCATCCGAAGTTCTTACAAAGCATGCAACTCTTCAAGTTACTGAAAGCATGATGGAGAGAATATGGACTTCAGGTCAGTTCATGGCAAAGACGACTTTGATGATTTGATTGGCTTCTGTGTGGGCAACGGGATACCAATGCCTGGAAGCGAGAGGGCAATGTGGATTGTTATAGACAGATGCCACTATCACAATCACTCAGGAGGAATTTGTTACTGGGTCTATGGAAACTCTTCTTGAGCGCAAGAATTTGCGTTAGCTACCACAGGCCTCGGGGCACATTCAATGATAACTGAAGATTACTTTCAGCAGATCATTTGTTTGGATGTCTATGGTTATGGCCTAACAAACATAATTCGTGGCTGGGGATCTACGTTGTAGAACATCTCGTTAAAATCTTTTTGTCGAAATGCAATGTGATTTCCCGGGAGCACTCGGGGCCATGATGGTTTCGACACTTAGTAACTTTCCTGTTAATCACCACTACAATAATATACCGAGACACCAACTGCAACAAGAGCATTGACTTCAGATACACCAACCCCGCACGAGTCCCCCTGACATCCAACACTAACACGAATTAGGTCAGGAATCGCAAAAACAATGTGACGTTGCAGTCAATACAAGGTGGAAAACTCCTTGCAGAACAAGGCATTTGTTCTTTCCTTCTGCACTCATCCCTCCCGCGCCTCCAGACCCAACGCGTCACTGCGCGTGGCTCAAACAAGCACATTCCACGCCATGGCGATTGTGCCGAAAACCTTCTTGTACAACGTACTCCTGCAATTCGCTTTGGGTACAGTGGCCACGCAAGATGATCTGAAATACGTCAACCCCTTGATCGGATCAACCAATGGCGGCAACGTCTTCGCAGGCGCAAGCCTTCCATACGGCCTGGCAAAACCCGTTGCGGACGTGGATGGCCAAAATACAGGAGGTTTTTCAACGGATGGGAGCAATGTCACTGGTTTTTCGCACATGCATGACAGTGGCACTGGCGGGAATCCGTCCATGGGTAATTTCCCGCTGTTCCCTCAGTATTGTGCCGATAATCTTGTGGATAATTGCAAGTTTCCAAAGACTGCACGCGCTGTTCATTACAAAAATGACTCGGTGGTTGCGAAGCCGGGTTATTTTGCCTTAACGCTTGAGGGTGGTATTCAAGCTGAGATGACTGCTGCGCGGCGCACTGCGTTGTATCGGTTTACTTTCCCTGAGTCGAAGCTGCCGGATGGAAGTGACCTTAATCCGTTGATCTCACTGGATCTGACTGATCTTTGGGATAGTCGACAGAATGCTTCCATCAGTATCGATGCTGAAAGTGGCCGGATTAAGGGCAATGGGACTTTCCTGCCGAGTTTCGGGGCTGGATCGTACCAGTCGTACTTCTGTGCTGATTTCAGTGGCGACGCTATCGACGGTGGGATTTGGGTTAATGACCGAGCCGGATCGGTGAAGGAGCTGTTTGTCACTCGCGGCTTCAACAATTTCTACCTCCAAGCTGGAGGCTATATGACCTTTGATCGGCCAAGTGACGGGGTCGTCACTGTGAGAGTGGGTGTCAGCTTTATGAGCACTGATCAGGCTTGCCAAAATGCCGTGAGTGAGGTATCTGATCCAGATAGTGACTTTGATGGTCTGCGCAAACATGCAGAGGACGCTTGGAAGGAGAAATTCAGCCCGATCAAGGTCACGCCAGGTGGTGTCAGCGATGACATGTTGAGCAGCTTCTGGAGTGGCATCTATCGGACCATGTTGTCACCTCAAGACCTCACGGGCGAGAACCCGTTATGGAAGAGTGACGAGCCTTACTTTGACAGTTTCTATTGTTTGTGGGATGCATTCCGCGCGCAGCATCCATTCTTGACAATTATTGATCCTCAATCACAGTCAAGAATGGTTCGAAGCTTGCTCGATACCTTCAAGCATGAAGGATGGCTTCCCGACTGCCGCATGAGTCTCTGCAAAGGCTGGACGCAGGGTGGTTCTAACGCCGACATTGTTCTGGCTGACGCCTACGTCAAAAATCTGACTGGAATTGACTGGGAACTCGCCTACAAAGCGATGGTCAACGATGCGGAGAACGAGCCACTCGAGTGGTCCTATGAAGGACGAGGGGGTCTTCAGAGCTGGAAGCACCTCGACTATATCCCATACCTGGATTTTGACTATATCGGCTTTGGTACCAATTCACGGAGTATTTCACGGACCTTGGAATATGCCTATAATGACTACAGCGTGGCCGTTGTAGGCAAAGGCCTGGGCAAGAAAGACTACACCACATACTTGTCTCGGTCTAACAACTGGCAAAACTTGTATAAAGATAACCAGACATCGCTTCTGGAGAATGGAACAGACACTGGCTTTACTGGCTTCTTCCAGCCCAAGTATCTGAATGGCACCTGGGGCTATCAGGATCCTATTGCCTGCAGTGCTTTGGCATCATGGTGCTCTCTCACCTCGAACCCTTCAGAAACCTTCGAGTCCAGTATCTGGGAATATCTATTGTACGTCAACCCATATACTCTCTCGCGGATATAATTGCTGACCCTTCATAGCTTCGTCCCCCACGACATGGCAAAATTGATCAAGCTAGTTGGCGGCCCAGAATCCTTTGTGTCACGGCTAGACTACTTCCACACCTCTGGCTTGGCAGACGTGGGGAACGAGCCCGTCTTCTTGACAGTTTATGACTACCACTACGCCGGACGACCCGGTCTATCTGCCAGCCGAGCCCACGCTTACATCCCATCCTCATTCAACGCCACGCACAACGGCCTACCGGGCAACGATGACTCAGGAGCCATGGGTTCATTCCTCGCATGGAGCATGATGGGACTCTTCCCGAACCCCGGTCAAAACGTCTACCTAATCATCCCTCCATTCTTCGAAGCCATTGAAGTCACGCACCCGGAAACCAACAAAACAGCCACAATTCGGAATGTCAATTTCGACAGATCTTATAAGAACATCTATATCCAGAGTGCCACGCTCAATGGCAAGCCATACGCTAAGAGCTGGGTTCCGCATGAGTTTTTCACGCAGGGTATGACGCTAGAATTGACGCTTGGGGACAAGGAAAGCCACTGGGGTACACGCAAGGAGGACTTGCCTCCGAGTTTGAGTGACTCACTTGCTGGGGTAGACGCGAATGGCATGTAAATGGTTCCGTGTTTTAAGTCACAGTGTTTTTGTGGGATATTATGCATTAGGGATGATGTATCTTGATAACAAGAATGTTTTCTGGCGGTCTGTCAATTTTGCTCTGCATCAGGCTTAACCTTGTCGCTTTCGAAGCAAAAATGCCCAACTGCAAATAGCTTCCCGCATCTTCGACCAATACCATGGCTGTAAAGGCCCAATCAGATCAGTCCTGTGCCCCCGAGCAATTGAAGTATGGGTCAATGTTTTATCAATGCTTCTTCTACACTCCCACCTACTAGCTAGAGGTCGATCAAGCTTCGCCATGTAGAATCAAACGAAATATAGTCGTGAGTTGGCCCCAAGGCATGCAGTAGAGGCAAGAGGTATACATACACCTGCGGATCGCTCCACCGGGCCTGGGCACGGCGATCACATGACTAAGCAGCAGGCGACCCCGAGGGACACGAATCCCTTTTTCGACGAAGAACAAGCTGAGCTTTGCTAAAACCACTATCTTTGAGATTGTCTTCTCGAGCTCTTCGGGAATACTTCCCCTTCGGTCCCAGGTGCTCACGCGATCGCTTGGCGACATTGCTCCTCGACCTCAACCCGCCAATATGGCAAGTCGGCAAATCACACGGCGCATTATCAGCAGCGCAGCGATCGCACTATGTCTTGTCTTCTTCCTCTTCATTCGACCGCAAGGGCCACCTAGCCCCGCCATCCGCGCCCCCGGCCACATCGACCATTCCGCACCCGTGACCGCGCCGGGCATAAGCATCCAAGATAGCACATTGAAGGGCGCGGTGGTGATGCCCAAGCTGGGCAACGAGACTGTTAAGTAAGGCGAATCCGAAATCATGAACCATATGGTATATCGGGGACAACGACTGACCGTGGATTGGTCGATCTCCAGGGCTGAATTGGGTCGTGCGACATGGAAGTACTTCCACACGGTAATGGCGCGATACCCCGAAACGCCCACGGAAGACCAGCAGGAGGCGCTGCGCTCGTACATCTATCTATTCGCTCGGTTATATCCATGGTAATAACTCCCACGCTCCCTCCCTGCCCCTGCTGTTCCTTGGATTTGTTCCGAGAATCCAAACCTACATCCTAGAATGGTGCTGACGGAACTTGAAACAGCGGAGAATGTGCATCGCATTTCCAGCAACATCTCAGCAAATATCCCCCTCAGGTCTCCTCCCGCAATGCAGCTGCGGGCTGGGCATGCTTCATCCATAATGAGGTCAATGCGATGCTCGATAAGCCCGAGTTCGATTGCGCCAATCTGGGTGAATTTTATGACTGTGGGTGTAATGGGGATGAAGAGGGTGGGAAGGGCAAGCAAGGATCTGCTACTTCACGGTCTGATGCCGGGAAGGATGGCACGAGGCATGATGGGCCCGCTGTGGAGATTTCCAAGGAAGAGTTAGTTGTTTCCTGGTATTGCTGCTTACAGTGTGGATGATGGCTAACTTGCTATTTAGGACTACCCGCGGTTGATCGATTGAATTTTGCTTCTACGCATTAAGGTCCGGTCTTGTTTGGCTTGCATTTGACCTACTCTAGTCGCAAGGCTCGGGTTGGTTATTCATATGGAGCTGGTCTCCCTTGTACAGTAATAGATTGTCGAAAGTACCAATATACCCTTTAATGTTCTGCATGTGGTTTTTGAGGGTTGAAGAGGAGGGGTAGATCCCTTACGCTATCATACTATAGTATGAGTTATCAGTCCATGTAGACTTTGGTCTTCAAAGATATAAAGTTAAGTTCACACAGAAGCATATTTCCGAGGACTCTTGGTTGGATGTTTTAACCTCGTAACTATACGTATATAGCCCGGATATCTACCTCGCAATAAGCACTAGAGAAAGGCAACGAAGAGTTAGACAGACTATGCTATCGGTCAAGAAGACAAGAGCAAGACTTTCACATTCTCGCAAAGATCATCCTATCTGGTGATCAGGAGGAAGCGCGCATGACCCGACAAGCTTAGTATATCCCTGACTGGCAAAGCACACTAAAAGCGCATTCCGTCGTACATGTTCATATTGCTCAGCAGAAGCACTGAATAAACTTTTTCTTTCAAAACAGGGAAGCGCAAAGTCGATATCGTCGTCATGTTGCACCCTCGTGATACCAACTAGTCTCTAGTCTAGGGGTAGTCGCATGTGGTATCATGACGAAAGGCCCCCAAATGGCCCCAATCATGGTATCTACGGCTGCGCATTAGCGCAGGACATCAACTGCAAGACAGGAAGGCATCCTATCCAGGTTGAGTTTGGGCCAAAAATAGAGCCGGGAAGGATGTGAATGAAGCCGTTTTAAGGGCCAGTCTCACTGCTTTGAATCATCCCCGACAAATGAACGCTTGGGGTCTCCTGACAGGCATTGCTGATCTTTCATACTGGGGGAACTGATCGGCCATCAGCCGGTGCTTTTTTAATCCACTCCAGTCCACATGAAAATAAAAAATGGCCCCGTAAGTTTGATAATAGAACAATACAGCTTCTCTTCTTATGATTCAATTCAAGAAAAGACAACGTTCAACATCTTCAACACATTCAGAAAGACAAAACATCCGACGCGCCGCCATACTACCCAAAGCAGCCTAGCGTAACCCAATCCCGGCTAGCGTCGATTTGCGCGCCAAATTTCAACGCGCAAAAAAAGAAGAAAAACCAAGCAACAAAAGGTTTGTCCGTTCTTAAGCGCTTGATCTGTTAGACTCGGCGCATAACACTTGCTGTTAGCTTATCTGCTGTCGGGGTACTTTCAAGGGATAACACCCCCTCCTTGCAACACAATCGGCAACAGCACATTGCCGTCGCATTCACCTCCGGCAAAGAACCGAGTGCGCATTTCCATACTGCGCCTCAATCTTAAAATTCAGTCTTCCGACACGTTATAGTTCGGTTGTCTTCCCCTCTAACGCCCGTCTCTGCCAACATCTGCTAGGTGGGGTGATCTTCAGTCAACATGGTTTCTTTCTCTTGCGAGGTAAGTCAAACAACTCCGATCTAGCGGTTGAGAGACGAGTCTCCCCGGGCCTCAAATGGCTACTAACATATTCGTGGTAGGCATGCGGTGATATCCTCACTAAGAAGAAGCTCGACCCTCATCGCAACCAATGTCGCGGTGCTACCTTCACCTGCATTGATTGCATGGTGCACTTCTACGGAACCGAATACAGATCGCACACGGTATGTCAGGACCTGATCGTATTGCCGCATAGTCTCGAGGCTACTCGGCTGGGATTGAGCCATAACAAAGGGGGTGCACCTGCTAACGGCTCATACAGTCCTGCATGAGCGAGGCGCAAAAGTACCAGGGAGCTCTCTACAAAGAAAAGCCAGTCAAGGGCCAAAAGAAGGGACCGAACACCGCGAAGAACCAGAAGCAGAACCCCAACGCCCGCCACCAGCAACCCCGTGTTGAGGATGGCTCCGATGGCGAGGGTCTCAAGAACGTCCCTCCTCCCCCTGCTCCTACGCCCCCGCCTGCTAGTGAGGTAAGGACTCCTGCTGCTGCCAAGGTTGATAACAACAAGCCTGTCAACGTCTTCGACTACCTGGTTACCGACGAGACCCCGAACGCGTCCAAGGTATCTCTTACGCCCAAGGAGCAGATGAAGATGGTTTCGAATGCCAAGTCTGTCTTCGAGCCCAGCGATTCCTTGGCCAAATTCGAAGCCAACCCCACTACCGACGATGAGGGTAAAAATTACGATATCGCCTACGAGCAGAACGGCTTTTCATATGGCGCCGGCAGCATCCCGCAATCGAACTCGCCCCCGAACGTGTCAACCGAGTTCGTCACCCCCGCCCCCAAGGATAAGAAGAAGAAGCGCAAGGAGGAGAAGCAGGCCGGCACTGTCAGCGACAAAAAGCGCAAACGTGGCCAGCCCGAGGTCCTCAGCACCCCCGGCGAAGTTGACACCGACATGATGGACGCCCCTTCGAGCATCATCAACAATGCCGGCACACCAATGCTAGCCCACTCCGGCCTGACCGGTGGTCTAAACCGAATGATGCGCTCCGCCTCACCAGACGACAGTCCCGACGCCCGCCGTGGCGCCTACCAAGACACATCCTCGCCGATCAAGCGCACGCGCCGCAACGGCAAGGAAGCCAACGGAAACAGCGATCAAGGTCTAGGAATCTCCATGAGAAACCGCGCCGAGCGCCTCGTTTCCTCGATGTTCGGTGGTTCATCCGTCTCCAGCGCCAACGGCGGTAACACCGAAGTAACTTCCAAGGCTGTCGTCCGCACCCGCCGTGGCAGCGCCTCCAGCAATGATGACCAGCTCGAAGTCCGCAAGAGCAAGAAATCTCACCGCTCGCGCACTGATGGCCACGCTGACAGCCGCGAAAGTCGCAAGTCCAAGCGCAAGAGCAGCAACCCCACTGACGGTGACCGTCCCTCCCGCCGTCTGAAGCAGGTTGATGAGCGTCGTTCCCGCTCACCCGACGGCCGCCAGGTGGCTGTCTACAAGCAGTCCAAGCCTCCTGCTCGTACCGATGAGGATTTGCAGCGTGAGCTGGCGCATCATTTCCTCTCGCTGGTTTCGAGTGGTAGTGAGCGTGGTTGCTCGGTTAATAAGACTCTAAAGCGGTTCCACCGGAATCTTTCTTATGAGTATGATGATGAGGAGGATCGGGATCGGAGATTTGATGATGAGAAGGATTTGTGGAGGGCTTTGAGACTTCGCCGCAATGATCGTGGTGAGATTGTTGTGTTTATTTGAACTCGAGAGGCGTTGAAAATGATCCATGATCCATGATCTATGATCGATGATTGTGGATTTAAACCTGGAAGGGTGGTCATGGTCTTTGTTATGAGCTGACTAGGCTGGGTTTTGTTTTGCATAGCGCTATGCTTCTTTTGGGATTTTTTGATGTGTGAGGCTTCATTGTTGCATACTGTTCATATTAATTCGGGTTGGGACTAAATTGCATTGATAATGTGTACTCTGGCTTGATTGTTTTTTTGGTGCCTTTCATCAGTAGGCGGGTACTTTCAGATCGTATCTACTGTGACTCAATTGTATACATCCCAATGTTTATAGATCGCCAAGGTCCCGCATGTGGGCCCAGGCACAATGAGTCATGTTATGTAAATTCCTGACTCACAGCAATTGGCCACTACGTCACCGCCCTGCATACGCCGCCTTATACTGCCGATGAGAGCTTTTGTCGCCTCCTAGATAATTCGTTCTGTTACCATTTCTCTCGGAGGGCTACTGCCTTTCGCTTATCTTTTGTGTTATTTTCGAGCATTTTACTCTTTGGTTTTACCCGTATTCTGATCTTCGAGCTTCGTTTTAAAGCGAGTACATCCATCGATCCTCACTTTCTTGCAACCCACTCAACCGCATCGAGAAAATTTACCGGCATCATATGAGCACGTTGGGCGTGATCAGTCGGGTCTCGGACGCGTCCTTGGCTATGTCAGGCCCAGAAACAGAGGTTTCAATCCCAGCTGGGCCACGGCCTCCGCGTGCTCCTAGATCATCTAGGCGCAGAGGGCGGGGTTCCGCAAACCGTGAAGGTCAACAACAACGACCTGCATCTGGCGGTGAGGGTCAAGCGACAACACAGACGCAACTGCCGCCTCCTCAGTCCCAACCGGCTCCAGTATCGCAACAGCCCAACCATCAAAATGATACGTCTCGCTCGCGGAAAGGAATTCGAGAAGGGAGAGGACGGAGAAACCGGGGCCATGCGCCTCCACGAGGACAGGGTCAAAACGGCGGACAGGAAAATCAAGAGACACGGCCGCCTGTGAGAACTCGCGGCATGAGAGCGCGCGGCTTTGAAGCTCAATTGACGCAACATGGTCCGGCCTCGGATGATGGTGCGGGGCAGTTGAACGACCATGCACTTAGGGCTGATGTGCCGGATTTTGTACCGGGTATGCCGTCAGCATCAGCTGGACAACCATCAGGACAGTCAAATAAAGGAAAGGGAAAATCCAGAGCGCCGCCCCCACCGAAAGTCACTACCAAGTCAACGGCCGACGATCTCGCCACACGAATCCACGAAGATATCTCCCACAATCTGTACGAATGTCCTATTTGCTGCAGCGAGCTGGGTCGCAGATCCAAGGTCTGGTCTTGCGAGCTATGTTGGACGGTTTTCCACTTGACCTGCGTCAAGAAATGGTCCAAGAATGAGGGCGCAGCTGCCCAGAGGGCTTCTGGTCCAGAAGACGGACAGGAAAGTGCTACTCCTCGTGCTTGGCGTTGTCCTGGTTGCAATCTTTCGCATCAGAACTTCCCTTCCAATTACACCTGTTGGTGTGAGAAAGAGGTTGATCCCAGGCCGCTTCCGGGTTTGCCTCCACACTCGTGTGGTCAGACGTGTTCTCGGCCTCGCAAGGGCTGTCCTCATCCTTGCGATTCGACGTGCCATGCTGGTCCTTGTGCGCCTTGTACTGCCATGGGCCCGACACAGGATTGTTTCTGTGGTCTAAACTCAACGAAAAAGCGATGCCAGGATACTGATTATGAAAATGGATGGAGTTGTGGTGAGATCTGTGGTGACTTACTTCCATGTGGAGAACATACATGTCCTCTCCCATGTCATGAAGGCTTGTGTGGCCGTTGTGAAGTTCGCATTGAGGCCCGTTGTTATTGCGGCAAGCTACAAACAGAAATGTTGTGCAGCTCCCAGGACGCTACGAAAAACAGTCGAATCGTTCGTGAAGATGGTTCGGAGGACGAATGGACCGGCTGCTTTGGTTGTGGAGATACTTGCGGCCGTCCATTCGATTGTGGCATACATTCATGTCAGAAAGACTGCCATGCACAAGATCCACACCCTGCCCACTGCCCACGGTCACCAGATGTCGTTGACCGTTGCGCTTGCGGTAAAACGCCGTTATCTGAAATTTCAGGATACACACCTCGGACATCTTGCGAAGATCCGATTTTGAATTGCGAAAAACCATGTGGCAAGATCTTGCCGTGTGGACATGCGTGCCAGCAGCTCTGCCATATCGGACCCTGTCGCGCTTGTTTACTCCGTGTGAATATCAAGTGTCAATGCGGTCGTACTGATAACATGAGCATATGTCACCAAGGTGCTGTTGAGCCTCCTCAGTGTCCACGCCAGTGCAAGGCAACTTTACACTGTGGTCGCCATACCTGTACTGAAAGATGCTGCCCAGGAGAGCAAAAGGCACTTGAGCGTCAAGCGGCACGTCGCAAGCTTAGGCCGCATCTTCGTCCTGCCGAAGAGGACATTGAGGCAGAACATATCTGCACTCGCGTCTGTGGTCGCACGCTGAAATGCGGGCGACACACTTGTCCAGAGCTCTGCCACAAGGGCGCATGCAATACCTGCAGAGAGGCCATCTTTGAAGAGATTGCGTGTAACTGCGGAAGATCTGTTCTGTATCCACCGCAGCCATGTGGCGCGAAGCCGCCTCCTTGTAACTTCCCTTGCGAACGTCCAAAGGCATGTGGACATCCTCAGGCTGCGCATACTTGCCACACCGATGAGGAGAACTGTCCCAAGTGCCCATTCTTGACTGAGAAGGCGTGTCTCTGTGGCAAGCAGGTGCTAAAGAACGTTCCTTGCTGGCTGGCAGATGCCCGCTGTGGTCAGATCTGTAAGCAGCCGCTTAAATGTGGCTCTCACCTCTGCCGGAAGGACTGCCATCGTCCGGATGATTGCGAAGATGCAACAAAGCCTTGCACTCAGGCCTGTGGAAAGACCAAGACCATTTGCGGGCATCCTTGCACTGATCCATGCCATGCGCCTTACGCATGCCCTGAGAAGACGCCATGCCCCGCCGTGCTCACAGTGACATGTGGCTGTGGACGACTTCGGCAACAAAGACGCTGTAACGCCGCAAAGGCTATCACATCTAAGGGCCAGGTACAGTCTCCTCAGCGCCAGCCAGAGCTTACTCCTTTGTCCTGTGACGACGAATGCACGCGTCTTGAACGGAACCGCTCTTTGGCTTCCGCTCTGGGCATCGATATCAACCCAAACACCACTGCACAAACCATCACCGCTGAGAACCTCCCCTACTCGGAAGAGACTCTCAACCAGTACATCAAACTTGCATCCTCAGCACCTCTTGCAACCCTTCAAACATACGAATCAAACCTTCACTCCTTGGCAATAGCCGACAAATCAACTCGATCATTCCGCTTCCAGCCTGCCAAACCCACTCTCCGTGCATTTGCACACTCCCTCGCAGCAGATTGGGGCTTCGTGACAGAAAGCCACGATCCAGAACCCCACCGACACGTCTTCGTCCTCAAGCCAGTAGCCTGGACACCTCCCATGTTCGGCATGGGAAGCAGCTCCACAATCGGTATCGGCGGCATGAGTGTACGCGAGTGCGTCAAGCTCCGCGAGCGAGAGCGCACCAAGGAGCAAGAGGCTCGACGAGTTGCCGCCCTTGAAGCAAAGGTGGCCCGTGAATCTATCAAGGCACAGGCTAATGCTGGAGATGGCTGGGCTCAGGTGGCTTCGAGAAGCAAAGGTGGCAGCGGTGCTAGCACGAGGAGCAGCACACCTCTCCAGAGCTCATTTGTGAGCAAGTCTATTTACTCTGCTCTCGATGCCGATGGAGGTGCTAAGAAGGAGCGCTTGGTCCTTCGCTCTGGGGTTGGTGCTGGCAAGTCTCTGCGTGCGAAGCAGCCTGCTCCGGAGGTTGTTGATAATTGGGAAGATGCCGAGGAAGCGGCTGAAGAGAAAGAGGAGCAGTTGGAGGCGGGACGGGGGCAGGATACGGTTACTCATGAGGACCCTCAGGGCAAACCCGAAGCTGGGGCCGAGGCCGAATCCGATGCTCCCAAGGAAGTTGACCCCGCTCAAGCTGAGGAAGCTTCATCCGCTACAGACGTGGCTGTTTAGTTCCTCGCACTGATGAACAAAATAACACGCATCAACGCATCAATACATTACGATAAGTTTCACTATCTGTGCGCTTTCATGATATCTTATGTCGGGCATCATGTCGGAGTCCGGAAGCATTCGAGCATCGAATTTGATATTTTCTGTACACAACGAAAAGCAAGAATGTAAAAACCACCAAAAAAAAGAAGAATTATCAATACCAATTCCTCAACCGTGATAGTTTGTAGTCATATCCAAGGTAAACCCCAAATCCATAGATCTACTTTGCAGGAGGCACAACCTTCACAAACTGCAAACACCCCTCAGCAGCAGCCCGATACGGACCGTGCTTCATACCAGGATGCCGATAAGCATAAGCACCAATACCCCATGCCTTCCCTAGAGTAACATCCTCCAGCCCACCGCGCAAAAAGCAAACCTCTTCAGTGTAGGTATGAGTGATGGGCTCAGTCTGAGCCGAGACGGCGTTTGGCTCCCACCATTGCAGTACGGCTTTGTGTTCTGCATCTCCGTTCAAGAGGAACTCCCAGACCCCTGGGGCAATTGAGTACCAGGGGAGTGCTGATTCGGAGCCTTGGGGTGTGCCCACTGGTGGATGGGGTGGTGGGGTGCTGAACTCTTTTTGGTTGAAGGGCATTTTCGAGGGTTGGTTTTCTTGTTGCGGTGCCAGATGTGGGATAGTCATTCAGGTTTGTGTGACAATTTAGATGTAGAGATGTTAATTGAGGAGATGTTGTTGAGGCTAGGTTTGAAGTTGGGGGCTTAAAGTTACAGTTTGTATGGCTCGCTCTTGGGCGAAGTGCTGACAAATGGGTAAGAGTCCATCCGACGTCGATCTGGGGTGTTTTTAGGGGTCATATACTAGATGCTTGGGGTATATAAGTAGGTCTTGCTCTTCCAAATAGCAGATGCAGCATAGTTTACATGAGATAACGCATCTCCAATGCTTGAAGTATACCTAACAGCGGGAGGCGTAAGTCTGCTTATGTCAGATAGAGATTATGTCATCCCATAGTTCGGGCATTTCTTTTGGAGATTCGGAGACATTCAAGTTGTACTTTATACTGGTCAAAATGGCATCTTTCCATCTGAGGAGTTTCCAGTCTGCTTTCCGTGGCAGCACTCATCTGCTGCGCCACCAGCAGCGACGGTGGGCTCAGGTCCACGACGTTCGCTTCCTCGCCTCTCACCACGATCCCAAATATGTCCTGGACAAGTACCGGTCCAAGCTGGACAAGAAGGCCAAGGAGTAAGTTCATTCGAATATACCTTATAACCTCAATGCTCATACTTTTGGTCAGAGAGGGACACGAATCGGTTGAATCATTGAAAGAAGCCTACAGCGAAAAGATCTCCGATCTCCGTCGCAAAGCATCCACCGCAGCCACCCCAGAGCCCGGCTCTCCCATCTCCACCACCGCAGTCCCAGGCACACCCCCAGCATTCCACCCGCCTCCACCCCCGGGCCAGGAATCAGCCACGGCAAAGGCCGCACGCCGCGTGTCAGGCGGCGACTCAAGCCCCGTCAAGCCTCTCAACGCATACTTAGACGTCGAAAAGATCCGCGAGCTCCCAGCAAAGGAGATCGAAGCCCTCTGGCGCCTTCGCCACGCGGAAAACCCGCACTCCATCTCCGCAGTCATCACACTGGACACATACAAGCGCATTGCCCAAGCAGCGCGCCAGAACCCGCAATTCGTGCTACCCCTCCCACGCGCGCAGATCCCACAGGAGGAAGCCGAAGCGCAGAATCTCGAGGGAGCTGGAGCTGCTGCAGAGATCCACTTCCTGCAGTGGGCTTTCCACCCTCCTGCTGAGGGCTCGACGCCGTCGCCTTCTAACACACACACCTCGACTGTAATCTTTACTAACCTGGGTGCTTATAAGATGCATGGTTCTTTTGCTCAGCCTCACACTACTGTTACCCACCACCTTGATTTAGCGGATGAGAAGGGTTTGGTTCTTATGCATGGTCAGGTTGTGCCGGATCGTGGTGTTAACACTACTGAGGCTACTTTCCTTGTTAGCTGTTTGCAGCGATTCTATGACTTCGAGGGTCAGGCTAATGGCCGGAAGGGCGAGCTTGTTCGTATGTTCACTCGTGGCGATGTGGAGAACTTTAAGATTGAGGAGCTTTTGGAGGAGTCCGAGAGACTTCAGTAGATTGTTCTCTCGCCTGATTTATTGGGCTTGTATTATATATTCTTCTTCCTGTCTCGTTTGTTGGTTGGATAGATATTGGAAAGTTGAATTGATGTCATTATACATACATTCGAGGCTAGAGGATGTGTTATGGTCATTTTAAATCAACACACAACCAGCAACTCAATTAGCCTTAGATTCAACTCTGCGTTCTGACTCGTACAGGCATAACTTCAAGCGTCTATCACATGACAGCCCGGGTGGTCTAGTGGTATGATTCGCGCTTAGGGTATTCAAACACCTAAGCTTATATGCGCGAGGTCCCGCGTTCAATCCGCGGCTCGGGCCTGTTCTTTTTTTGTTTATTTCTTTTATTTTTTTATTTTTTTTTGGCTCTATGAATAAATCAACTAATCAATTTCATCCCTACTGTAGCTTCTGACTCTATTGGCAGGCAAATAATCGAAATATCTGTTCGCTGTTCAAACATGTCATTGACACTGTCTACGTTTATATCTACATCACCATCAGGATATGGAAAAGTATCCCTCCAAGATACATATGAAGATAGATTGACATCGAGATATAGGCCCTGCGAAATCCAGCTTGCTTGTTCCAAATTCGATCAAAATCCTTGCCCTAGCATCGCTTAATTGTGCTGGAGTCACCACAGAGTATCTAAGGTGCCTCATTGGGACTGGTATCTTAGTTTGACACTGAAGTATGGGTCGTAAGCAAACCGCCATTGGATCAAAGACGAAAAGGGAGTGCATAACGCTAGATTTGACAGCTGTCAAGGACCACCAGAAGCACTGCATGCATATGATCTGAGCATCCAGTCCTTCGAGACCGATAATTAGGCGATATCTTATTCCACATTTGAGAATGTGTGAGACG